CCCCTCCCTCCCTCCCTTTTCTGAGGAGCTGGGTTTGGGTATGGTGTGAGGCAGGGATTGGGTTTGCTCACTGTCAATAGCCTTCCTGATTATCTGTGAAGCCACTGTCAGGTCTGGGCTCCATACTTGGGGCAGCCATGGCAGGCTCTCCGTCCATGCCATTGGCTAGTGTATTAGTGCTACTGTAGCAAAAAATACCACAAGAATTTACTGGCTCACAATTTGGGAGACCAGAAGTCCAAATCAGCATATCTTGTCTATGTCTGTTGTGCTGTTTATTTTATAAGACACTTTGCAGAAGTGATTAGGTGTAGGACCCACCCTAGTCCTGTATGACCTCATTCACATAACAAAAGAAACCCCAGTCCACAACACGATCACATTTGCTGATAGCAGGGATAACATCCACATGACTGATGGGACTCGCTTACAATAGTCCATTTGTCCAGCCTGCTGTGGGCTCCCCATGACCCTTGGCCTCTGTTTGGTGTCCTCTGGTTTCTTTATTGCCTGTGGTATTTAAGTTGTGTTCATTCCGTGGTGCATGTTTTTAGAATTTCTTGTGATATCTGCCCTTTTAACTCCTGTCCCCGTCCTGCTCAGACCGCACCCCCATATTCTCCAAGCTGAGTGATTAACTAACACCTGCCACCTGCGGTCATTCCCCCGACCCTGAAGAACAGTTCCGTTCTTGTTTCATCTGAAATGGAATTCAGAACTTTAGATCCAGACATGTCTGCTGCTTCTTACGAGTCCCTGGGTGGTATAAACAGTGAACACACTCAGACGCTAACCAAAAGGTCGAGGTTCGAGTCTACCGAGAGGTGCCCTGGAAGGAAGTCCTCGTAATCTACTCCTGACACCCCTCTGGAGCACAGATCTACTTTGGCACACATGGGTTGCCATAAGTGAGACTCAGCAGCAGCTCCTTGCCCATAGAAAAGAAATCTTGATTTGTAGACGTGGGTCTTACTGAGAAATGGCATCACGTAGGTTTGTGCAGGAAGAGGGTGTTTCTGGGGTCTGGATCCAGGGAGCTGTGAGGGAGAAGTGGAAGCTGTGGGGATGTTGACTGAGCTACAGGGAGCACCATTCCTCCTCCTCTGCTCTCATCGGTCCTGTCCTTTCCCGACACACTCCTCACTGGCCCAGGTACTGCCTGCAACCCCGGCCTGGCCTCACAGCTGCCGCTCCCCATAAGTAACACCAGTCAGGAGTGTGCAGACCACTGCAAAAAGGGATGGGGGAGGCAGTGGGGGCTTCAGGCTAGTGGAGACGGAGCTCCCTCACAGAGAAGAGACCTTTCATGGGAATAAACCAGAGGCCTAGAGCTCCGGCTTTTCAGGCTGTGGTTCTCAACTCCTCAGAGGGTGGGTGTCACAGAGCATCCCTGAACTGTGTCCTCTCTGTGACCGGGTGTTCACCCACACACACACTTCCTGTGTCCCAGCTGCTATGACTCGGCCCCCCGCCGCCCTCCAGAGTCCCCTCTGCACTCCCACACTCTGCCTTTGAAAACAAGTGTCATTGTTCCTGGTGCTCTAGTGACAGCATGGAACTAGGAAGTGAACTTTGAAAAGACCACACTTGCCCCTTTTTCTAGAGGACATCTGAGAGGACGTGGACCAAATGAAAAGAATTGCTTTGCTGTGGGGGTACCATGTGTGCTGCCGCTCTGAAGGAGGCCTCCGGGGTAACAAGTGAGGTCCAGTTAGTGCAGGGTGCAAGTGGAAGATTGGCGAGAGGGGGAATTGGCAGGCACGGATGGCAGGTCCACCACAGTGACCCCGTATGACCACTTGGCAAATGTTTATTCTCTCCATTGGCCTCAGTTTTGGTTCATCCTTGGAGCCATCATCGCTGGTTATAAATACATGAGGAGGTCCTCCTCCTGCACAGTAATGAACTTCCAGGGGTGTGCAGCAGGGGTGCCACAGATGGGGTTGGCCAGGCAGAGATGTGAGGCCACATGAGGGGACAGCCAGTCCTGTAGACATTGAGAAAAGGAACCCAAAGGGAGTTGGGTGTCAGGCAGGCAGGGTGGTGAGAGGCACCTGTGTGGTGGGAAATGGTATGTGCCGCCCCTCCCAGGGGTGTTTATCTCCTGCAGACCCCAGACCCCAATTCAAGAGATGACCTTCTAAGGTTGAGGTGTGGGAAGGTCAGGCAAACAGCTCACCCTGCATTTCTTGGTACTGGAAAGATCCAGCCAGCTTGTGTCTCATCTTGCAGTAGCCATGGCCCGCTCTCGGGCAGGTTCCAGCCAGAACTAGTAATTTGCTTGTTTTAAAAGCATTTCGTTAGAATTTCCACACTCGTGTGCTCATGATGCTTTCATTTCGCCCATGAAAGTGGCTTTTACAGCAGCGTTTTGTAAGAGCACAAAGCTTCCCTTTGTGCATTATACCTCTCCAGGTTTTATTTTTACACACATCTCTCTTAGAGTGTTTGCAAGGAGCTAAGTGAGAAGCATGTTTAAGGGTGAATCAAACCAATAGCTCTCAGCATCAGTGTAGTGCCAACATTTTTAATAGAAGGTATTATCCTCTTCACGTTTGAATTATTTAATACGTGTTGTGGAAATGACGTCTCAGGTCCTTCACAACTTGAACATTGGGTTTGGTGCTGAGTGTTTGGCTTGTTTGCTTAACTTCTGCCCAAGAGTTTATGGAATTACAGGAAACTGGGTGGGGGTGTGCAGCCTGGTGCCCGCCGGTGTTGTGGGTGCAGTGGCAGTAGCGGTCAGCTCTGCACTTTCACCTGGCCATGGTCTCAGCAGTGCGTCCCTTGCGACCTCGGTGCACAGGCCTGTGTACATAGTCCCCAGCTTGCTTCTCAGTTGAACAGTGTCCCTGTGTGTGAAAAAGTCCTGGTTTTCCTGGAGCAGCCCAGAGGGAAGGCACATGGAAAACAAAACAAACGGGAAGACAGACAGGACTGTGAGTGCGCTGGCCGAGTGCCGTCCTTCCCGGCAGACGCCGGGCTGCCCAGAGACAGGCGTCCTGGGCTAGTCAGGGCTGCCCAGCTCTCCACCTCTGTCCCCGCAGTCCTGCACCTCCGAGCCACGGCTCTGTGACAAATCAGGAATCATGTGAGGAGAGGGAGCAGGCACATCCAACTTGGGACACCGTCCTCCTGGCCCTGGGCTCCCACAGCTTGACCGTGGCCAGTTCTGGACAGCACAGCCTGTCCTCAGTGTACCTGGCCTGGTGGCCACGATGTTGTTTCCTTATACCTTTCTCATCTCCTTCTTAGAGTCCATCTACCGCCGTGGAGCTAGAAGATGGAGGAAGCTCTACCGCGCCAACGGTCATCTCTTCCAAGCCAAGCGCTTTAACAGGGTGAGTGCCACAGGGACATCACTGTGAGCGTGCCCTGTGGCTGTTGTTGGGGTTCCAATTCTGCTTGTTACGAGCTGAGGGAAGTGCCAGGGAGATGCTTCCTGCCCCAGCCACAGGTTCCTTTCCCCACGTGCCTGGCCTGGGTGGTCTGGCTCTAAGGGCAGGGAAGTAGGAATGCTTTCTCCCATGGCATGTGGGAGCCTTGCCCCCAGGGCTTTTGACCCCATTAAGTTCCTAGCTCAATCATTTTCAGGGTTGAGGCATCTCACGAGTCCCCTCATCATGCAACCCACTATTGGGGCTCCTCGCTTGCCTTCACCAAGTTAGGGTGCCCACTCGACAACTGATAGCAGATATGTGTCCTCAGCTGCAGGCAGGGTCCCTGTCCCCAGAAGCCCCAGTGTCCTCACCTACAAAGTTGTGGTGACAGTGTTGTTATAGTGGTCGTGGGGAGTACAGATCCCAATGTCTAGGTGGTACACTCACACACTCACACACACACACACACTCACATACACACCCCGCCCCACATTGAGTACAGATCCCAATGTCTAGGCAGTACACTCACACACTCACACACACACACACACACACCCTGCCCCGCATTGAGCTTGTCCTGTCCCGGGAGCAGGGGTCTACTCTACCGAGTTTACGTTCACCACACCCTCCCTGCTGCAAAGGGCCTGGAGTGGATGTGTCTCTCCCTCATCCTGTCCGGGGCCACCCTGGATGGGTCTAGAACTGAGCCACCCTCCAGGGCTGGCCAGTGTGCTCTCTGCTGGCCTGTAAGGCCTAGGACGTGCTCCTGAGTGAGCATGAGAGATGTGCACAGCGCTGAGCTCCGGGGCTCCACAAGCAGTGCTCACAAGGGCAAGCCTGGGCGGTGCGTGGAGGACTTTCTGGAGGAGGTGGTGTCTCTGCACCCTGAGAAGTCAGCACAAAGGGGGGATGGGAGCTCCCAGGATGGGGATGTGCCAAAGGGTCCCAGTGGATGGGGCACAGAGTGTATCAGAGCCTGGCACACCTCTCTTCCCACCACAAGCTCCTACCTGCTTTGAAGAGAGATGCCTGCCCTTGGCCCTGCCTGGGCCCCACACTCGGGCCTCCTCTCAGACATCCCCCTGCTGATTTCCTGGGATTGCTAGCACAAAGCACCACACCCGGGGGCTTAAAACACTTTTCAAGTCCATGCCAGCTCATCATGAGGGTTTGGCCAGTTTTCTTAAAAGAATCCAATTCAAACTAGTCAAAACTATAAGGGGAAGTCAAAAAGTATGGCTACAAGATTGGAGAACCCGATAATAAACAAAACTATAAAAATGTGACGCTATATTGCTTCTTGACGAACCCTCACCGAGGGCTCTGGCTGTCTGCACCCACCTCTGCTCCACCTCTTCTGAAGATGGTGTCTCCAGAAGCCCCTCCCCCCAGGGAATTCTATACGCTTTGATTTGCAGCCATCAAAATGATGGTTTGGGCATCCTCCAGGGACTCTTGTGTTCCTTTTTAATAATGTTCTTTGAGTTTGTGGAACAAGAAGAAATCTGAAAGGGCGAGGTGAGGGCTAAAGGGTGGATAAGGTAAGGTTTCCCAGTGAAATTCCCATAGGATACCCCTTGTGTTGTTAAGTGCTGTCAAGTCAAAGCCAACCCATAGCAACCCTGTATAGGGTTTCCAAGGAACATGTGGTGAGCTTGAACCACTAACCTTGCAGTTCAAATGACTTTGCAGTCTGATGCATTAGCCCATAGTACCCCACCTTACGACCATCAAAAAATGAACAGGTGCAGTGTCATGATAGGAAAAAATTATTTGGTGCAACTTTCCTGACTTTTTTCTCATCTATGTAGTTTTCTGTTTTTTTTAAAACTTCTTTATAACAAGCCACCATGATTATCCTTTGCCCTGTGCAAAAAAACACCTGTTAAGATGACTCTTTTGGAATCCCGAAAAAGTCACCCTAACTTCTCTCTGAGCTACCTCTCTGTCCTGGGTTTAACTGGCCCCAGCAGATCCTATCAGATGCCATTGTTTGGATTAGAACTGTTTTTGAAGACACCTTAATGAGAGACTAAGACAAGTGTGTTGGTAAAAGAACTTGCCTGCAGCCATCCACTGACCACAGAAACTTGTTTAAACATGTTTTGTTTGGAATCAATCTGTGCGTGTATGCTGGAACCCTAGCAGCAATACTTTTTGATTTACCTTCATGTTCCTCATCTTTGTTTCATGTAAATCCTATTGTCGTTGTTAGGTGACATTGAATTGGTTCCAACTCATCATGACCCTGTGTACAGTGAGACAAAACACTATCCAGTCCTATGTCATCCTTACATTTTGTTTCAGCTACTGTGCCAATTCACCTCATTGAGGGTCTTCCTGCTTTCTAGGAGATCCTCTACCAAACATAAACATGATGTTTGGTAGAGACCAGAGACTGGTCTCTCCTGAGAACATGTCCAAAGTATGTGAGACAGAGTCTCAACCATCCTAGCTACCAAGGTGCATTCTACCTGTACGTCTTCCAAAACAGAGTTGTTAGTTCTTCCAGCAGTCTGTGGCATATTAAATATTCATCACTAACACCATAAGTCAAAGGCATTAATTCTTCTGTCTTCTTTATTCTGTGTCCAGCTTTTGCACGCATCTGAGGCAATTGAAAATACTATGGCGTGAACTAGGTGCACCTTAGTCTTCAAGGTGACACCTTTGCTTGTTAACACTTTAAAGAGATCTTTTGCAGCAGATTTTGCAGCAGCTCATTGCAATGCATCGTTTGACTTCTTGCCTGCTGCTTCCATGGGCATCGATTGTGGATCCAAGTCAAATGAAATCTTTGACAACTTATATCTTGTCTCTTTTATTGTGAGTTGCTCATTGGCCCAGTTGTGAGGTTTTTTGTTTTCTTTTTTGTGGAGGTATAATCCATATTTTAGGCTGTAGTCTTTGATCTTCATCACTAAATGATTCAAGTCCTCTTTGCTTTCAGCAAGCAAAGTTTTGTCATCTGCATATTGCAAGTTGTTAATGATGATGTTGGGCACGCAGGTCAGAGCATGTAACCAGATATGAAGACTGTCATGTATTGTCTAAAACTCAAACAATTCTGAAAACGTCACCCAGCAAGGTGATCATTGTCATTGATATTAATAATTTTAAATCTTGAAAAATAATGAAAGAAAAAAAAAAGACTTTGCAAACAGTTGTTGTTAGGTGCTGTCTAGTTGGTTCTGACTCATGGCGCCCATGAGTTTGGGTCTGAATTGCTGACCTTGTGGTTCACAATCCAGTGCTGATCCTACAGTGTCACCCCAGGAATCCTGTATACTTGCAAACTACCCTCTAGCAATTAAAAATCGTCACGAGTCAGAATGCCCCAAGATCATCATTTTCTCCATGGTTATCATTCAGATGAGATGCTCTACTTTGGTGGGGTCAGGTGAAGAAGGACTTCCCCCATGTCCTTCTCAGCCAGACCTCACTCCACTCGGACAGGACCCTCTACTGCTCAACAGAGAGGCAGGCAGGTCTGCAAGGACAGCCTTTCCTGCCCCTGTATGCAGATGGGCCCTGCCCCACTACGGCTTCCTCTTGGCCCTCACAGCAGGATCCCAGCCCCCTGAACTGGGATGACCCTGGTGCAGGGTGACAATGGGAAGATGCCCACTCTGCCCCACCTCTATGTCACCTTTGGGGAAAATCAGTAGCTAGAAGTGGCCAGCGGTCCCTTGTGGAGTACGGGCTCCCAGAGAGCAGGGTGCGTGGCGTGATCCCGTCCCCTTGTCTCCAGAGAGCGTACTGCGGCCAGTGCAGCGAGAGGATATGGGGTCTCGGAAGGCAAGGCTACAAGTGTATCAACTGCAAGCTCCTGGTCCATAAACGCTGCCACGTCCTCGTCCCGCTGACCTGCGCAAAGCATATGGTAAGTCAGGCGGTTCTAGCACCGGCTGTCCCCACCCACCTCTGCTTCACCTGGCTATGTCACCGTAAACCACAGGAAGAGGGCTGTAGAATGCAGTTTGAATTTTTTAAAAAATTTTTTAGCCTTTTTACTGTGGTTTGGAATCCTGATGTGGTACTATGGGTTAATGCACTGGACTGCAAGGTCGGTTTGAACCACTAGGTCGGCGGGTCAAGCTCACCTACTGTTCCTCAGAAACCCTAATTAAGGTCGCTATGAGTCGGAACAGACTTGATGGCACTTAACAAGAACAGCAACCTTGTGGTTTGGGTGAAAGTTTTACAGAGCAAATTCATTTTCCACTCAACAACGTATGAGTGCACCCTTTGTCTCCTGACATTGATCACATCCCACAAAGTTACAGTGTTCTTCCCACTGGCTCCCTGGGTTCCCCGTGTGCGGGCTTGGTTTTTACTGAACATTTCAACCCTGCAGCCAAGCCAGCTTGTAATTGGCAGCTGAGGCTTGGGCCTCCCAGCTGCTGGGCACAGTGGGAGCACTGAGAAGGATGGTGTGTCTGTGTCCTGCTGTAGTGAGGGAAACAGCCCCTGGGTGGCTGGGTGCCCTACCTCCAATAGTGCAGGGCCCAGGGTCATCACCCTGACACATAACTCGTACTGGGTGAATTGGCCACGTGTACCAGAAGCCACATGTGCGCCCTTTAACCCCACAGTTCCCTTTAGCCCTGGAAATAAGAGCAACCCCAAAGTTTAAGGAATCCTAGGGCCGCCTGAGGACTGAGCTGGAACCCAGACCCCTACCCATAGAGTGTCTGCATTATGATGTCAGCATGGGGGCCCACCCTAGGTGGTGCTCAGGCTGTAGTCATTGATGCAGTGGGGGGTGAGGGCAGGGGCCAAGCAGCAGGTGGAAGACCTCATTTTATAAAGGCCAACACCCAAGGGACTGAGTGGGCACGTGCCTGAAACCAGAGGTAATATCTATGTCCTTCCTTTCAGACAGTATGGCAATAGAAACAGTGTCATTACACCGG